CTGGTTCAGATGGTCACGGTCATGGTCACGGTCATGGTTCAGTCCACGTATCTGGTTCAGATGGTCACGGTCATGGTCACGGTCATGGTTCAGTCCACGTATCTGGTTCAGATGGTCACGGTCATGGTCACGGTCATGGTTCAGTCCACGTATCTGGTTCAGATGGTCACGGTCATGGTCACGGTCATGGTTCAGTCCACGTATCTGGTTCAGATGGTCACGGTCATGGTCACGGTCATGGTTCAGTCCACGTATCTGGTTCAGATGGTCACGGTCATGGTCACGGTCATGGTTCAGTCCACGTATCTGGTTCAGATGGTCACGGTCATGGTTCAATCCACGTATCTGGTTCAGGTTCCCACGGTCACGGTCATGGTTCTAAAGGTCATGGTTCAGTCCACGTATCTGGTTCAGGTTCCCACGGTCACGGTCATGGTTCTAAAGGTCACGGATCAGATGGTCACGGTCATGGTTCAGTCCACGTATCAACATCAGATGGTTCTAAAGGTCACGGATCAGAACACGGATGGGAAGAAAGCGGATGGGAAAAACAAGAAACTGTTGATGGAAAAAAAGTTGTATCTAAACACGGATATTCAAAACACGGATGGAAGAAAACTAGTGGTAAGTACCAAACTAGTCAATGGTTTGAATACTGGTGGAATAAATATGAATCTCAAGGTGCCGATTGGTGGAATAACTTTTATACAAAATACGCTTCCGATTGCGGTGATGGCGACAAAGATTTAGATTCCAGATACAGTCATAGCAAATCATGGTGGTCCACATGGTGGAAAAACTATGGTTATAAAAAAACCTTTGATTCAAGTGATTGCGATGAAAGTGGTTTTACCTCTTTCACAAAATTCAAAACTACTCAATGGTTTGATTTTTGGTGGAATAAATATGAATCTCAAGGTGCCGATTGGTGGAATAACTTTTATACAAAATACGCTTCCGACTGCGGTGATGGTGACAAAGATTTAGACTCCAGATACAGTCATTCCAAATCATGGTGGTCCACATGGTGGAAAAACTATGGTTATAAAAAATCCTTCGATTCAAGTGATTGCGATACAAGTGAATTTGTCTATAAAAAATCTTCATCTAAATCAAGTGGAAAATCCTTCTCACATTCATCAACCTCTATTAAAGAAACAGTCACTAGTGATGGTTGGTTTGATTCTTGGTGGAATTCATGTGAATCAAAAGACACTGAATGGTGGGACAACTTTTATACAAAATACGCTTCTGATAATGAAGATGGTAAATATTTAGACTCTAAAACTCAACATACTAAAGAATGGTGGTCAACCTGGTGGAAAAATTATGGCTATAAGAAAACCTTTGATGATCAAGATTGTGAAGATTATGATATAAAAATAGAAGGTGGCGATAAATCCGAAGAAAAATTTAGTGAAAAATCTTCTGAAAGTTACAAAACTGAATTCAAAAGTAGCAGTTTCTTTGATGCCTGGTGGAGTAAATTTGAATCCGAAGACTCTCAATGGTGGGAGACTTTCTGGCAAACATACGCAAGTAAAAATGATGATGGTAAAGATTTAGATTCTAAAACTCACCACACTAAAGATTGGTGGTCAAGCTGGTGGAGTAATTACGGCTGGGATGAAGATTTTGATACTCAATATTGTGATGAATTTAAGAGTCTTGTTTCCACAAAATCTGAAGAAAGTCACAAGTCTGAAGGAAGTTACAAGTCTGAAAAAGGTTCCAATTCTGAAGGAAGTTACAAGTCTGAAGAAAGTCACCATTCTGAAGAAAGTCACCAATCTGAAGAAAGTCACCAATCCTCAAGTTCCTCTGGATCCTCCCACAATCCTCCTCCTCAACATCCCATTAAACGCGATGTCGTTATTAAAAGAATTTTAGGATCTAAGAGTTTGAAAGCAAGATCTTTATAATGATCTGTTTATAAGATAAAATAGAAGACACTTATCTATCATTGATCAAAAGTAAATTACTATCGATACTTTATTAACATAGAAAGAACGTAATTAGTTATGTTCAGCTCTTTATATATTATCTATTTTTCATTTACGATTACGTAGAATTACATGTATAGTATCGTAAATTTATTTTTGAGTTTTAATGTAATTTTATAAAGTCATATAATAAAAGTTAATATTGTGTGCAAACAACAAAAAAAGTTTGGTCTCTATGGCTATTACTGTTATTAGTTCTTTGGCTTTATATGTACAACGCAAATTAAAATAAAAAATAAATTAAATTAAATTAAATTATTTCAATGATCAATTTGCAGAGTCTTGGGTGCGCCGATGCAAAAATACCCGCGCACTGATCAATTCGCCTCTTAACACGAAAGCATACAATATTTTAAATTAAAACTATTCACTTATTTACAAGTCACGACAATTTTGCATAAATCTTTAACGTCACACCTGGAATTCATCTCTTAATAGATTCAGGAGACGTGCTGATTATTGTATGAAGACTATAAACTTAATGATATGGCGAATTTATATGGCGTCGGTTATACGACTTATCAAAGAGGATTTATAAGGCTTTTATCGAAGGCAACAACTAAATGTATATGAGGATACAAGTAATCGTAATTATATATATATTAATAGGGTATTTGGTGAATGCGAAGTGACTAGTGTAAATACAATATATATACATGGTTTGAATACTAAGATATACAACACGATAAATATTTCTAGTTGATACTAAGTTTAAATAAAGCTATATAATATGAAATTAGTATATTAAGAAGCGAAATAAGGTTAATAGCCGGGTCGAATGACCCGAAAGCCCCTAGTTATCCCACAAAAAATTTTCCACCCCTGTAATATTGGTCAATCGGTGCTCATTTCACCGACAATCATTTCGCCGACTCCTCGTTTTACCGATAATCGATTCACCGACAAGTTGGCAATCATTTCACCGACATTTAGTTCACCGACATGTTTACAGCTGTTTTCATAAAAATTTGCCGAAGGCTATTCGGCCGAATTCGATAAGCTATTTATCTCGGTGCTATACATATATAAATGCATAATACATATCAGATATGTAT